TTCCCCAGGGGAACCCCCCCAGCTCTCCCAGCCTGGCTCCAGAGCAGAGGGGCTCCAGCCCTGGGAGCAGCTCCATGTTTTCCCCTGGACTTTTTCCAGCAGCTCTCCGTGTTTCCTGTGTGAGCTCAGAGTGACTCCAAGGCCACTTGAGTCCCTCAAAAATAAAATACAGTCATGAGCTCCATCAGCTCCACAGCCTGAGCTCACCACGGGAACAAACCCTCCCATCCCAGGCCCGGGAATGCAGGGGGACCCTGTTTTTCTGGAATGGCCAACAAAATGCCCTTGGAAATAAATACCTGCAGTGAGGCTGCTCCGGGCTCCTCGGGCAGGGACTGCCCTGGCCTCTCACTCCTCTGGTATTCACAGATCTCCTCCTTGAGCTGCTCCACCTGCAGGACAAAACACTCTCTTGGATTTTCCATGAATGTTCGTCTCTCTGTCATGGGGAATATTAGGATTCCCCCCCAAATTCGCTGTAGAGGAACTGCACGTTTATCAATATTAAATGAATTTTTAAATTATTTTCACCTTTATCATTATTTCATTATCACTCCTCATCCTGAGGGAGTGGTTGGGATCCCATGGCTGCTCCAGCTGGGTGGACTCAGAGGACTGGGAGAGGAAGGGTAGGAAAAGGGGGAATCTCATGAAGCATTAAAGGGTGATTATCCTTAATTTCTTAATCTTAATTTCTTTCACTCACTGACCACACACACATGGAACACCCCCTGTACTGAGCAGTGAGATCCCAGCTGCTGATTCCCAGGACACCTTCCAGCCCTTCTGCCGTGGGATCAATGGAATTCTGTTCTTGGCAGCAGCTGCTCCCACCACAGGCACTGACTCCACGACCCACAGGCAGGAAAAGGCATTTCAGGACACAGAACTGTTGGCAATAAAGTGCATTTTAAGCATCTACAAATTAAAAATTGCGGGTTTCTTAAGTTCTGTGCCAACAGTTAAGCCCCATTCCCAAGGAATACAGGGAATTTGCTTTTAGCTTAACCTGAAGTTAGAACTGATCTCAGTCTGGCTGCATTTTTTTCTGCACAGAGAACACAGTATCTCACATGTATCTGTATTTTTTTGTCTCTCTATATTTCTTTTTTATAGATATTGAAATATATCTTAATATCAAAATATATATTTTGATATAAAAATATACTAAATAAACATTAAAGGATAATCAGTATAATATTTGTTAATATTTGTTCTTAATTTCTTAATAATATATATTAATATATTCTGTGTTGTTATATATAATTATATCATATCTTTATATGATATATAAATATAATAAATATTAAATATTAAAATATATTTAAACCTTGTATTTCTATTTTATGATATCCTATACACACATATGTACCCATAGGGACTGAAAGGAGCAACGTCCTCAAGCAAAGGCAATATTATTTGGAATTAAAAAAGAATAAACTGAGGAATTTGAACTAAATTAATTTTATTATTATATTATATTATCACATTTTTATGCAGCCCTAGAAACGAACTGTCTGGTAACTACAAGGTCTGAGGTGAAAGATGTGGAAGAACCAGCAATTTTTTTAATGTCAATAAATTAATTCAATATATTATCTGATAAATATCATTCGGGTGAGATCTCCTCAGAGGTATTTGTGTTCATTTAAAAATACCCATTTTATGTGAGAGAACTGCAAGGAAACCACAGAGCTCAGTGCTGGGATGGCCAAAACAATTCCAGGTTGCTGAAGGGCTGATATGGAGGGATTAGGAGATAAGAACAGGCACAGATTTTGTGCCAAATGACACATTTTAGTAGGAAACAGACTGGGTTTATTCCTTCCCTGTTGGCAATCCCAGTGAGGAACTATTTTGCTGATAGTCCCTTAATTGTTCCTTAATTCTGGATGGCATTTAGAGGATTCTGGATGTGTTACATCAGTAGTAATGTCATAGGAAGTCATTCCCTTAGGAAAGCCCCTACAAAATCAGCAAATCAATCACTGCAGCTGCATCAAAAGAGGCTGAGAGGGACCAAAAATCAGCATCAATTTAAAACAGATTTAAAAGCAGCTGCTGGTGGGTTTTAGGCTAAGCTTAGCTAAACTGGACTCTAACCCAGTCCCAGGGAGAAGGTGGATGTGTTGCTTCCTCTGTTTATCCACCTGATTTGGGGCAAATGTGGGCTAAGGGAGCTTGGAGCTGATCCTGCTCCAAAATGTGTCCCAAAGCCCCCTGTCAGTCCGAGCCCATCCAGCCCCTTCATGTCCAGCGGAGCATCCAACTCTTCCTGCAGGGAGGAGGCTGCAGAGCTGCATTCCTGGGAATTTATTCTGCCCATTTCCCAGATTTTATTATTCTGAGAACCACAAAACAGCCAAACAGCAGCCCTAGAAAGACTGGGGATAGAACAGAGAGGGGAAGGAGGGAGGCAGGGCAGGGCAGGGAGCAGGGATGGCTTCCAGGAGCCAGCCAGGGCTGTCAGGGAGCAGGGATGGCTTCCAGAACCAGCCCAGGGCTGTCAGGGAGCAGGAATGGCTTCCAGGAGCCAGCCAGGGCTGTTGGCCCCACCGAGGCCCCTCAGGGCCATGGCAGAGCAGGAGGGGGGTGGGTGTGTGCTCACCAGCTCCAGGAAT